CCAAGATCTGCGAGAACCATTTTGGCGGCTTCAAGTACAACTCAGAAGAATCTGGAAAACAATTAAAAAAAAATCAAGTTACATGTCACAAATTAATTATTCCAGGAACTTTCAGGTAAAGAATCCTGCTTTGCAATCCAGAAAGTGCATAAGTTTTACTTTTTAGTTATTTTTAGGAAACACTGGCCTGAAGCTAATTTTAGGCTATCCTGATGGCCTACTTAAAAACAGAGATACCACACTTCAATTAGGAAGCATTTCATGATGTAGAATAACTGCATTGTTTTCACCAGGAAAAAACAGTTCAGACAGACTTCCAGAAAGAACACTTCCTGCTTTTTATCTTCTTGTCAGCAATATTCTACATGTCAGAGCAAAATCAAGCAGGATAGCTTAGAAACTCTGCATCCTGCAAAGCCAGTATGACCAGAAGCAGGATATTTTGCTAGCAAAATTGAACATTATTTACTGGTTGCATTTTATCTAGCTTCCAATAAATCAAACTGAATTTCCCATTTTACTAACCCTACAAACATGCTTGCATTTTAATAAGCAAAATTCGCATTGTAGTTTTTAATGGATTTATTGGAAAAACAGATTGTTTTTGTTCACTACAGACACAAATCTCACATATAAGTGTACCACAACTTACAGTTAAGAAACCATAAAAAGTTAATTTCTGAAGGGTATCAATATTCAGTTCAACATGTTAAACCACTCCACCTCCTATATAACCCTCCAGATATATTCCAAAAGAGCTAAAACAAGTCACCCATGTAAGCCAATCTCCTGATTGCTTTGTCTAATTGAGAGTTACTATTGTTACAAAGCTGGTAGGTTAAACCAACAACAAAACCCTAAAACCAACTGCCAGCCTAACCCTCTCCCCCCCCAATACTGAGGTCACACTGCAGAACAAAGTCTTCAGGAGCTTCAAAATATGTAGGATAAATAAATCCACTGTAAATACAGGACCTGGGTACAGCAAATGATGCAAATAAATGCATTTACACATTTTAGATTTAATGTGCATTGTATGTACAAGCAATTCCAAAGTGATATCCATTACCATGCCATCTCGATATTCATTAAAAACATTAGTCTATGCTTCCTAAGGACCTCTACCCATAGAGTATTTGCAGATCAGTACATTAACAGGTATGGATGTCCACCTTCTTACATTGCTGAAAGAGGACTTCACGTTATCTGAAGTGGTAAGGAAGGAAACCTTGGAGTTTTACAAGGCATACAAGTCACATTATAGCACCATAATTCTAAAAAACCATTATCATCAATATGATCTACCAAAGGGCCTCAGCAAAACAGATGTTCAAAACATTTTTCAAGTTCGTTTCCTATGAAAATCATAATAATGCAAAAATAAACCCCCTTAAAAATAGCATTGCAACTCAGTAAGCTTTGAGCTGCTAAAACTGCATCCACAGACAAAACTTAACTACAGTACTTGGATATAACAGCTAAGAAATTTGATAGGATGACCAACATGCAGAAGCCATGTGACTGCTCAGTATTTAAAATTAGTTTCCAGAGTTCTATGGGTCTCTAAATACAGAAAGTTAATTATGTCCTAGGATACAAATGTTTCCTCTGCAGAATTCCAAAAGCTTCTTCCAACAGCCTTACAATAGGAATAACGAAAATACTTTGCTAAGGAGATGAGTTTAAGTGTTTTCATATCAACTGCTCTCGCTAGCACATCAAGAAATCATAAGCCATCAGAATTACTAAGGAGTGCCAAGTACAGAAATTAACAGAGCTTGTCACACACAGTCCATCCCAGTCGAGAGCCACACTCCCGACAACTGCTTGGGTGGGCAGGCAGCCAGGAGGGCATTAGCAGTGACTGCACTGCAGAACAGGGATATGCTGAGCATCCGTAGTTCTGGAGAGCTGAGCTTTAATGCAGCATCCCACAAACACCCTGAGCAGGGTTAAACCCGGCAGGGCCCCCTGGGCACCTCCACAGTGAGCTCCCAGGACATCCTTCTGCTCCATGGAGTGCCAGGACTCTGTGCTTCTGCCGGGAACAGGCATTTCAGGAACCAAGGGGCAGCAGAAATAGCAGGGGGTTTATTAGGTCTAAGAAAATCAGCAATGAAGCAACTCTGAAGGGACAGACTGCCTACTGCTGCTCAGCCCCCCAGCATAAACCTATATAAATCTGCCTAGCTAATCTAGCAGTACTCTTTTATGTAAGGGATTTTAAAAAGTGAAAAACTCTAAAATGCAAGAGCTGTTTAAACAGCTGTTTAAAAGATAGCAAGCAAAAGGGACATTTAAAGTCTGTATAATAAAGTTACACTAAATGTACACTTACATGGATTAGATCAATCTCAAGTCAAATACTGTAACGGAGCAGCAGCTGTTTCACAGGTGCGAATGGCTGGAGCTGCTGCAGCGTCACTCAACCTTAGCTTACGAGTTTCCACCTTCGAGTTACCCGGCAAAGGACGGGAAGGCGCCCCCGGGACGGCAGCGGGGACCGGCTGTCTCGCTTATAGCCCAACGCCCTCGTTTTCAAGGGAAAGGAGGGAGA